TTCACAAATTTGAAGGCCACTCTCGGATGCCTCCTGGAAACAAACTAATATAATAATAATAATAATAATAATAATAGTAATAATAATAATAATAATAATAGTAATAGCAACAATGGTTCATTGGAAGATCTGCAAAAAATATCATTTGCCTGTAAGCAAAAACTGGTGGGATCATAAAATAGAGAAAGTCATAGAAAATGATAAAATTAAACTGCTCTGGGACTTCAGAATTCAAACAGACAAGCACCTGCAACATAACACCCAGACTTAACAATTGTCAATAAGAAAGACAAAAAAGTCTGGATAGTGGACGTGGCAGTGCCTGGAGACAGCAGACTAGACGAGAAAGAACTGGAGAAGATAACAAAATACAAAGACCTACAAATAGAAATAGAAAGACTGTGGCAAAAGCAAGCAAGGGTAGTACCAATAGTCATAGGCGCCTTGGGTGCAATCCCAAAACAACTGGAGCACCACTGGAACACCATCATCGGCATTGACAAATTCGCTATTAGTCAATTGCAAAAGGCGGCCTTACTAGGAACTGCTTCCATCCTGCGACGAGACCTGTAATACCATCAAACATCCACATCTGCCTATCCCAGGTCCTGGGTAAGGACTCGATAGGTAGACAAAATGCCAAATCCAGTCTGAACATCTGGCTGACTGTGCGATGATCCATAATAATAATAAAGTTGGAAGGGACCTTGGAGGTCATCTAGTCCAGGGCTTTTCAATCTGTGGTACGGGTACCACCTGTGGTACAGTGGCACCTGGAAGGTGGTACGCGACCATCCTAGAAAAGTGGTAGCGGGGGAGGGGAATGATTCTGAACCAGTGACAGCACCCCACAAGCCTGAGCGAGAGACGGCTGGAGCTGCAGGGCTGTCAGGGCTCAGCGGAAGCGCCAGGATCAGGGCTGCTTTCCAGCTGATCGGAGCTTCTTTGGGGCTGTCAGGGCTCAGTGGAAGCGCCAGGCTCCGCGCCAGGCTCCAGCTGGAGCTCGGCGCTGATCCTGGCGCTTCTGCTGAGCCCAGAAGAAGCTCCGATCAGCTGGAATGTTGCAGCATCTCCAGAGTCTTGTGATTTACATTCAGATGCTTGGCAACTGATTCATATTCATGGCAGTCATAGTGTCCCGGGGTCTCAGCAGACAGGAATAAAAACCAAACACCCCCACTCCACCCCCGCTGCCAATCCTCAACAGAAATGCTCACAACAATGAAACAAGAGGAAGAGGGCCGCCGGGCGGGCAGGCAGGTGTCTGGCTTGGCTGTGGCTTGGGGGGCACTTTTTTCAGTGCCATTGTAACTTCGAACAGTCACTAAGCGAATTGTTGTAAGTCAAGGACTACCTGTACATCATTTTTTTTCCTTTTTTTTTTTTTGGTCATCAAGTTTTTGACTCCTTGCTAGGCGACTGGTGGTCCTCGGATGTTGCCATATCCTAAAAGTGGTACAATGGGTGAACAGGTTGAAAAGCCCTGTTCTAGTCCAACCCCCTGCTCAGACAGGAAACCCTACACCATTTCGGGCAAATGGCCGTCCAGTCTCTTCTTAAAAACCTCCAGCGTTGGAGCATTCACAACTTCTGGAGGCAGGTTGTTCCACTGGTTAATTGTTCTCCCTGTCAGGAAGTTTCTCCTTAGTTCTAGGTTGCTTCTCTCCTTGATTGACTGCTTTTGACTGATTTTCTTTAAACAAATATTTGGGGAAAAGTCAGAGCTCATGTGTCCGTTTTGGGGGCGGTTGCACAGCTGTGCTTTGAAGCACGTGATGTAAATCGGAGCCCAGCCACTCCGTGTATTATGGGAGTGTGGCTAATAATGCTGAGGAAGTCTTCCCATTGGAAAATGAAAGCCCATGTTGCCTTGTTGTTATTGTTGTTGAAGATTAGAATGTTGTCTAGTTGCCCAGGATTCGTATGCGATGTTGAGCTTCCGGGCTGTATGCTAAGGGTAAGGACCGTCCTGCTCTTTTTTTTTTTTTTTTGGCTTTTTGACGATTGCTTCCTTTCAAGGACAGTCAGTGCTTGGGAAAACTGGTGCAAATTACCAGAAATGGGAGGAGACTTCCAAGTCCTAAGGCAGGGGTCTTCAAACTTGGCCCTTTGATGACTTGTGGACTTCAACGGCCAGAATTCCTCAGCCAGGCACACAGTGTGTGCCTGGCTGAGGAATTCTGGCCGTTGAAGTCCACAAGTCATCAAAGGGCCAAGTTTGAAGACCCCTGCACTAAAGGTTTATTGCATGCTACCTACACACAAGAATCTGATCTATTAATGGCCAGTACTAAATTGATGCTGGATAAGAGTCAATGGAATTCACGGAAGGCTGGACTCAATCAGTCCATCATTGTGGGAACTCAGTGATTGCAGACTGATGATGCATTTCACCCCACCCTCATCCTGCCCATCTCCCACATCTGTGTCACATCTGTGTCATCCCCGTTAGGTTGAGTTCCTAAGAGTCAGCCAACGGGGGCCTTTGATCCCATCACATCCACCATGTCCAGCCTTCTAGAATGAAATGGATGAGAAAGCAAATCGTGTAGAAAGCAGGACAGTGTGACTGACCGAATCCCGTATCTATTCCCTTTTTTTTCCCCAAAGAAGGAAATTCTTTTTCTTTAGAGCAGTGGTTCCTGACCTTTTCTATACCCTGCACCCCTACAACACTTCTGATATAATTTCGCACCCCTTTTACAAAAGTTTGAAATAACAGCAACGTATTATGTGTATACACCAGGGGTGTCAAACTCAATTTCATTGAGGGCCGCATCAGCATTGTGGTTGCCCTTGGGGGGCTGGGTGGGTGTGGCCAGAGTGGGTAAAGCCTACTGGGTGGGTGTGGATGGAGTGGGTATGGCCTACTGGGTGGGCGTGGCCAGCTCTACATCGTTCGCGTCAAGGGTGACTGTGGGGGCCTGGGCAGGAGTGGGACAGATCTGGGGGTCTCTGGCAGAAGGGGGTGGGACCGGGGCAAGCGCCAAGGCATGGTCCATTTCTTCATTCCTCACAAAGGGTGACCCCTCCCCAGCATGCACCCAGGGGGTGCGGGTGATGCGGCAGGGGCTGGTTCCTCGCTGTTTCCGGATGGCCTTGTGGAGCTAAGACTGAATGCGTTTCAGCCCAGATGGCCACCACAAAATTGTACATTGGCTCCCGGCCGGACTGGGCCAGGGCCAAGGCAGCGTGGGCAGTTCCCTCACAGTTTCCAGGATGGCTTCGCGGGCCACATGAAACCACTTCGTGGGCCGCATCCGGCCCCCGGGCCTTGTGTTTGACATGTCTGGTATACACTATAATTTTGAAAACCCAAGTTTTTGTAGCCCCTGGAATATCGTCCCGCACCCCCGGGGGGGGGGCACGAGTGCCCCCCAGTTGCGAAGCCCTGCCTTATAATTTTGAAAACCCTAGTTTTTGCACCCCCTGGAATATCATCTCACACCCCCAGGGGGTACGAGCACCCCCAGTTGCGAAGCCGTGCTTTAGAGACTCTATTTTCAGCACAGTTGAGTTTGGGGCAGGGGCCAAATCGTCCCACCCTACCAGGGAATCAGTCTTTGGCAAAATGGATGCAGACGAAAGCTTTCCTAGGAAGGGAGGAGAGAACTATAAACAAACATTCCAAAATAGTAGGTGATGAAAGCCTTAGGCTAAGGCAGTGTTTCTCAACCTGGACAAGGTTGAGAAACACTGGGCTAAAGGAAGGGAGAATACTAAGAGGCCCCTCGTGGCTCAGCTCAGTGCGTGAAGACTTTAAAGAGGCATCAGCGAGGACTCTGCCAGCTGGCTGGGAAATTGTCTGGTCAGCTTAAAGGTTTGATTCAATAATCCAGACCTTAGAGCAGACCAGGGAAATATTTATTAGTTTTTGTAAATGTAAATGTAAACCCTGCCTTTCCACTTAAAATGAGTCCCTTGGGTGGCTCACCGTAGCTGCAACAAAATGCAAAACCTAGCATAGGATAGGATAGGCTAGGATAGGATAGGGCAAGGCAGAACAGAATATAGAATAGAATGGAATGGAATGGAATGGAATGGAATGGAATGGAATAGAATAGAATAGAATTGAATAGAATAGAACTGAATAGAATAGAATAGAATATGGAATAAAATAGAATAGAATATGGAATAGAATAGAATAGAATATAGAATGAATAGAATAGAATAGAATAGAATAGAATAGAATAGAATAGAATAGAATAATAGATTTGGAAGGGACCTCGGAGGTCATCTAGTCCAATCCCCTGCTCAAGCAGGAAACCCTCTGCCATTTCAGACAAATGGTTGTCCAATCTCTTCTTTAAAACCTCCAGTGTTGGAGTACCCACAACTTCTGGAGGCAAGTTGTTCCATGGGTTAATTGTTCTCACTGTCAGGAAATTTTTCCTTAGTTCCAGGTTGCTTCTCTCCTTGATGAGTTTCCATCTGTTGCTTCTTGTCCTGCCTTCAGGGGCTTTGGAGAATGGCTTGACTCCCTCTTCTTTGGGGCAACCCCTGAGATACTGGAAGACTGTTATCATGTCCCCCCTCGTCCTTCTCTTCATTAAAGTAGACATGCCCAATTCCAGCAACCATTCATTGTAAGTTTTATCCTCCAGTCCCCTAATCATCTTTGTTGCTCTTCTCTGCACTCTTTCTACAGTCTCAGCATCTTTTTTAATGTGGTGACCAAAACTGGATGCAGTATTCCACAGATTTCACTTAACAACCGTGCTACTAATTTAGCAACTGGCTAAATAATTGGCAAGGAAATTCCTACAACGGGGCAAAACTCACAACACACTTCTCTCTTAACCACGTACACGGGGAACCCAGTTGTGATCGTACGTTGAGGGCCTCCTGTACTGCACACTCTAACCCAGTGTTTCTCAACCTTGACAATTTTAAGGCCTATGGACTTCAACTCCCAGAATTCCACAGCCAGCATTGCTGTTCTGGTGGAATTCTGGGAGTTGAAGTCCACAGGCCTTAAAATTGTCAAGGTTGAGAAACACTGCTCTAACCGCACCGCCGCCACCGTAGCCAGTTACCGAAACGAGAGCCACAACTCTTAGCAACTTTGCCTCCCGCTTGAGAGTTTCGGTCATTGATGGGTTGGGTAGAGGAGAAAGTTGCCTGTCAGCGTCTCAGGGACCAGAATAATAGGACATTGTACAACTGGAGAAGTCGTTGGCTGCAGGACACACTGTCGGTTTGAGCAACGATCCGGGAAGGTGCTAACGAAACGGGAGTGTGAGTTTTCGGAACTGGCCTTGAACTGGCAGGTGCTCGGTTGAAAAAAAAAAAAAAAAAATCGAACCGTCACATACTTTACAGCAATCCAGGGATGTTTTACAATCCAGTTTAGCCTGTTCCGATGGTGCTTTCGGGACGTTTGAGAGCTGCTTCCAATTCTGGAGAAACCTGATTGACCGCAGGTGCTGATTGTGCTGAGGGAGAAAGTGGGTGAGCTTGCAACAGTGTGCATCGAACAGGGCCGCTGTGTTGCACGGCTGGGAGCGGGAGGGTGACCCAATTAGGCAGCGATAATTAGCCTGGCAGCAGAGGCCTCGTTCCCTGGAAATCATTCGCATGCTGTGTTTGTGTCTGATGGGGAAAGTGGAGACAAGTTCTCAAGATGGTATCAGAGCTGCGCGCTGAATGGAAACTTTCCACCCGGGATTGTGCTTTCTTCAGGTCTGTTATGCAACTGGAAACTCTGCTTCAGAAAGAATTGGGCCATATTGCAAACGGTGAGGCCAAAGAGGGAAATAAAAATGAGCTTGGAACCTAGAAAATAGAATAGAATGGAATGGAATTACGGAATAGAATAGAATTAGAGAATAGAATAGAATAGAATTACGGAATAGAATAGAATTATGGAATAAAATTACGGAATAGAATTACAGAAAAGAAAAAAGTAAGAGAAAGAAAGAAACAAAGAAAGAAAAAGAGGAATGGAAGGAAGGAAAGAAAGAAAGAAAGGGAAAGAAAGAAAGAAAGAGAAAGAAAGAGAGAGAGAGAGAGAAAGAAAGAAACAAAGAAAAAGAAAGGAAAGGGGGGAAGGAGGAAAACAAAAAGAGAAAGAAAGAAAAAAGAAGAAAGAAAAAGAAAAAAGAAAGGGAAGGAGGAAAACAAAGAAAAAGAAAAAGGAAGGAAAAAAGGAAAGAAAGAAAAAGAAAAAGAAAGGAAAGGAGGGAAGGAGGAAAACAAAGAGAAAGAAAGAAAGGAAGAAAGAAAGAAAAAAGAAAGGGAAGGAGGAAAAGAAAGAAAGAAAGAAAAGAAGAAAGAAAGAAAGAAAGAAAAAGAAAAAAGAAAGGGAAGGAGGGAAGGAGGAAAACAAAGAAAGAAAAAGGAAGGAAAAAAGGAAAGAAAGAAAGAAAAAGAAAGGAAAGGAGGGAAGGAGGAAAACAAAGAAAGAGAAAGAAAGGAAGACAGAAAGAAAGAAAAAAGGGAAGGAGGGAAGGAGGAAAAGAAAGAAAGAAAAAGAAAATCATTATCCTGACAGAACTCTCTGAAGCAATGGGTCCCTCAAATGGCATCTGCAGGAAAGATCGGTTGGGTTACTCATTAAGTTTCCACAGCTAAGTGGAACTCGAATCTTGAGCACTGCACCTTGTTGGCTCTCTCGTTTCTGTCGTGCTGAGGTTCCAGACCATCCAGAACAGAGGTCTCCAAACTTGTCAACTTTAAGTCTTTTAGACTTCAACTCCCAGAAGTCCTCAGCCAGCCAACATAGCTGAGGGGAGTCGGAAGTTGAACCCATGCTGGCTGGAGAATTCTGGGAGTGGAAGTCCACAGATCCAGTGTAGAAGTATACCTGGGTTCTAGATCAGGGCTTTTCCAACTGGGCAACCTTAAGACTTGTGGACTTCCACTCCCAGAATTCCTCCCTGAGGCGAAGTTGGAAGTTGAACCCATGCTGGCTGGGGAATTCTGGGAGTGGAAGTCCACAAGTCTTAAAGTTGCCATGTTTGCAGACCCAGAACCCAGATACGCCTCCACACTGCAGCTGTGGACCATCTGAAGCCTGACTTTTGTCTCCTTCCCTTGACTCGTAATGGAAGTGGAGCGTCCAAAACAACAGGCAGAGCAGAACCCTGCTGATCCTGACAGCCACTTGCTGTGTTTCTGGAAAAGGAAATGAGCTGATGAGTACATTTGGTCTTTCGAAAGGATGTTGTGGGCTTTTTGCAAAATGCCACAGGCAGCCGCAAAACATTCCTCTGCCAGATGGCTGAGTTGGTCCCCTTTGCGTCCCAGAACCCGCCAGAGACACGGTTTTCTGTTCCATGGAGAGGTCAGGCCGAAATGCTTGCAAAGAAAGCCCCGGGGCTGCATCCAGCCAGCCTTTTCATCTCCTACGGGTGTCCCTGGGGACAATCCAGGTTTGTCCGAGGCTGACATTCAATAGGACTTATTTTTTGTTTTTGTTGTAGAATTAAAACAAATTTTAGGCCACCCACTGTGAAGATGCTGAGAGGCCTCCTTTGCTGATTTTTGGGGGGGGGGCGGGGAAACGGGGCATTGTGGTCGAAACCAGCTCAGATTTTGGACGGGCCAAGGGTAGGTTAGATGGGGCCAATCCCATAGCATCGTTGTGCCCTTTTTTGCTGCCAACAACACGGGGGGGGGGGGGCAACATCCATCAATTGGAACAAATCTCTGTATTTTAATTGCGTTGTACTACATTGCATTGGGTTGCAGCTTTGTATTCTATTTATTTTTACCCTTTTTATAAAGAACTTAAGAAGGCAACCACGCCTCATACTCCTTCCTCGTCCTGTTTTTTCCCTACAACACCAACCCTGTGGCCAGTTAAGGATCGTTCATTGTCCTTGAACAAGCTGAAAAAATGATTTACCAAATGCATCCAAATGCTGATCATAGAATTGCAGGGACCTCAAAGATCATCTGTTGTGTAGGAAAACCAATGAACGCCTGACTTATCTTACTTTCTACTCCATTTCCAGTATAGGCAACATCAGGTATTCTATTCTATTCTATTCTATTCTATTCTATTCTATTCTATTCTATTCTATTCTATTCTATTCTATTCTATTCTATTCCATTCCATTCCATTCCATTCCATTCCATTCCAGTTCTATTCTCTTCTGTTCTCTTCTGTTCCTTATTCTGTTCTGTTCTATTTTGTTTTGTTCCATTCCGTTCCGTTCCATTCAATTCCATTTTCTATTCTATTTTATTCTATTCTGTTCTATTTTCTATTCTATTTTCTATTCTATTTTCTGTTCTATTCTATTCTATTCTATTCTATTCTATTCTATTCTATTCTATTCTATTCTATTCTATTCTATTCTATTCTATTCTATTCATTCCACTCCACTCCACTCATTCCATTCCACTCCACTCCACTCCATTCTATTCCATTCTTATTATTCTATTCTATTCTATTCTATTCTATTCTATGCTATGCTATGCTATGCTATGCTACGCTACGCTACGCTACGCTACGCTACGCTACGCTACTCTACTCTACTCTACTCTAGGAGGAGGAGAAAGAGGAGAAGGAGCTGGTAGAGAGAGAAATACTAACTAGTATGCTAAGCAGAAACACAGTTTTCAACATTGAGGCTCAATGTGTAATATTTAGTGTGAATTTCTTTTTCATTTTGAGATCGTGATATGAGAGTGAAATAATTCCCTAATTTGGATTTGCAGTCCCCCCACCCCTTTTCTTAATATGTCTGACTCCCATTGAAATTGTCAAGCATTTAACGTTTTTGGTATGTGCTCCGTTTCTTTACCCCGGTTTTTTAAAACTGCATTTTAAACCTTCCTTGGTTATCTTGGTTTGGTTCTTTTCACTAGGACCATATCACAAATGAAGGCCATCTGTACAAGTTGAACTTGACACTCTTGGGCCTGCCTCCAAGAAATTGTGTTTTTGTTGTTGTTGTTGTTGTTGTTGTTGTTGTTAACCGGAATATGAAGTGAAGCAAATCCCGATGCTTATCGGGACTGTCCTTCTGCATCTTGGCTTGTTTTGCTGTTGAGGCTTCGTTTCAATCCGTCATTTGAGTTGAGATAGAGTTTGTGTAATACCTTGTGAGACAAATGGGATCTCCGTTCGCCTGAGACCTCTGTTTTAGCAATCTAACCTTTTCCAGACGTCTGTGATCCTTGCCTTCCACCCAGACTAATGTTGTTGTAAACTGAGATAATTCTTTTTTTGCCTACAGCTCCAGTCTTGTAATTCTCACTCTGAATTCCTTCATCAGCTCCCTGTGTTCCTCCTCCTTCTCCTCCTCCTCCTTCCTCTTCTCCTTCTCCTTCTTCTTCTGCATTCTCTTCTCTTCTCTTCTCTTCTTTATTCTATTCTATTCTATTCTATTCTATTCCTTATTTCTTATTCTATTCTATTCTATTCTATTCTATTCTATTCTATTCTATTCTATTCTATTCCCTTATTTCTTATTCTATTCTATTCTATTCTATTCTATTCTATTCTATTCTATTCTATTCTATTCTATTCTATTCTACCTTATTTCTTATTCTATTCTATTCTATTCTATTCTATTCTATTCTATTCTATTCTATTCTATTCCTTATTTCTTATTCTATTCTATTCTACTCTACTCTACTCTATTCTATTCTATTCCTTATTTCCTATTCTATTCTATTCTATTCTATTCTATTCTATTCTATTCTATTCTATTCTATTCTATTCTATTCTATTCTATTCCTTATTTCTTATTCTATTCTATTCTACTCTACTCTACTCTACTCTATTCTATTCTATTCCTTATTTCCTATTCTATTCTATTCTATTCTATTCTATTCTATTCTATTCTATTCTATTCTATTCTATTCTATTCTATTCTATTCTTTAATAAGGGGTATTTTTTATGTTTCAGATATAAAAATCAAGTTTGGTCTATTTTTTTTTCTTTTTTTCTTTTACAAATCAATGCAGTGTTTGCTCGTATACAATTGTCTATCAAACCTCGGACGTAGCTCACAGTTTACTTGATCTGATTTGGGAGTTTGATTGGACTCAAAATTGTTGCAATCGTTTAAAAAGCCAGGCGGCTTCGACAAACTTGTGTGGCCCACGTAGATCAGTCTTTTGCATTTCATTAAGGTCTAGTTTGAACTCAGCCTGAAGTCTCAAAACGTTCTGAACGGGGAAGACTTTTGTCGGCTGCTCTACATCTGGCTGGTTTCACGAGCTGATGGGAAACATCTGAAAAGCAGCTGCAAACTTTTTTTTTTTTAAATAAAAAAATCTGGGAACAGTCCTTCACTGAATCAGGAGGCTTGCCCCTATAAAGGAACTTAATGGGGTTCAGTTGAAAGTAACCCCAGCTGCTCCTCCTGTATTGTCTTCCAACAACTGAAATTCAGAAAGGGAGATAAAATATTCCCTCTTTCTTGGGGGAGGCAAAGGTGGCCGTGTGAGTTAGGACAGTGGTTCTCAACCTGTGGGTCGGGACCCCATTTGGGGTCGAACGACCATTTCACGGGGGTTGCCAAACAACGCAGTCCGCCATTTTTCCCCCTTTTCCTTAGCTGTGCTACTCCCTTTTATTCTATTGGCTTTTGAAAGCCAATAGAATAGACTCTCTTGAATACAGTCTAATTCTATTGGCTTTCAAAAGCCAATAGGAATTGTCCAGGCTGTCTCTGCCCTGCTGAGCCCGCCAAAAGTCCCATTCTGCAAACGGTGCTGCCCCAGTTGAGTAGTCCTCGACTTACGGCCGGTTGAGTAGTCCTCGACTTACGACCGGTT